TTGATGTGGGTGAGTTTGGATGAGATCAGAAAGAAGAGATTCACCCATATTCCACAAAAAAAGCTTGTCAAACTCGTGAGAATGTGCGTAGGGCACATCTGAAATTCATTTTTCTTTGACTCCGTGCGGAAGATGCAATAACAAAAATAAATGATAATTAACAGCTGGTAATTTCTTTATATAGTTATAAATGACTTAGTATTTTAGTGACCATTGATATCTCGCATCTTATATGCATATACAAGTTGATTATCGTTTTGTATAAATTAACTTTATCTATGAAAGAGTCTCGAAGATTTACTATATATACAAAATACAAAGAACAATAATGTTCTAATAAAGGGATATGCAATTGATATTCGTTATCAATCAATGTCCAACTTCATTTATTAATAAGAGATAAATTAGATTTTAAAAAGTAACTATAAACATATATGAGAATTATGAAAATTCTGCAGTCAGGCGTCTTTTCTACTCGTGCTTAGTTTGAGTTGAGGTCTAGTTTAAGTATGTTACTGTTATTGAACAATGAAATATTGTAATAATTTTTAACTTTTAAAATATTAATATAAGGATAAATTTGAAATAATATAATTATTTAATGTAAGAATATTCACAAATAGAATGCAATTCAAGTTGTTTATTTTCGGTCAGTTATATGTGAGAAAGGAAATAGGACAAGATGATAAAAGGAAGAGGAATTAAAATAGCGTTTGGTATCAAAATGTAACTGGAAATAAATTGATTATTAATAATAAAAAATATCTTTTGGTCAAATATTAGTGTTATTGTTTTCATGTAGGAGTAATTTTTGTATACATTCTATTGTACAACTAATAAAGAATATTAGTGTAATTTAATATCAAACACAGAAGATCTTTTCATCTGATTTAACTTACGAAACAAAATTTAAAAAGTTTTGCTTTATTCATGTTGAAAACTTCTTATGATTCTTTCACAAAAACAAGTCTAAGTACAAAGAAATAAAGAAATATTAGCAGTTTCATTTTATTATAATCATACAAAAAGTATATAAAGAATGAGTATTTGAACTTTGCAGATCATGCAATTGTTTCTCATAAAGTTGATCATATTCATCTTCGCCATTAATAGTAAGAACAATGACTTGCAAATGAGGAAGTCGCTCGACAATTAAATAGGCAATGTTTACCAAATTTGGTTGTCACGACACAGGAAAAAGATTGAGTTATCGTAAGCCATTTGACATGAGCATTCTGCACAAAGAAATATTATCGAATCGATAGATTAAATTTTCCTCTTTCAAATAACGTTTAGTATCATATTCTGATCTATAATGCAGCTCCAGAGTACGTAGATTAGTCGTTTGCAAAAAGACAAAGATGAGTTGAATTGAAAGGTTGTGTAATACTAATTGATTTTATTTGATGCCAAACAACGATAGATGGTGATAAAGAAAGAAATTCATCGTTGATGTGATCATAATAGTCACTGATAACAATCCTATTGCAACGAAACAACTTATTATTGAAGGTTTGACCTTTATATGGTCATCGACTTCTTCTAAATTAAACGAAAAAACTTTCTATTTATACCCATGCACAGTTTTATGTAGATAAGAATAGACACATAAATATTCATCGTTTCTTGATACTGTTATAGCTCTAATAGGGTGTATATGTGGATGTTCAACAAAAAAAGACACTCATACCCACACCCAGCTCTTCTACTCACAACTATCGTTGGTGCTGCAGCTGTGAATGGCTTATTTGGCTTACTTGTCGTAGATGACGATGTGCCACTAGCATATGGTTTTAAATTTTTCTTGTCCATTTTAATGATAATGAGGACGATAGTGATGGCCTTCTGATTCTTTTTCAATTTGCGTAAATGAATGGAAACATGGATATTTGTTTGTTGCACACTTTATGAATCAGCAAAACAAAAACATTTCGTCTCTATCTTGGGTGTAAGTAAAATACCCACACCCACAGCCAATGTCAATTATTTTGTTTTTTTTTGATTATTTTAGAATAAAAGAAAGCTAAAATGTCAAGTAAAGATGATGAATCAATTGAAATGTTATATTCAAAATCATGTCTTGATTTAAATATGGATATGGAAACAAAGTTAGATGCATGGCGTTCATATGAACATATTCGTAAACATTATGTTTTAGAAGGTGATCAATTACATTGGTTAACTATTTCATTATATGTATCATGTAGAAGATATAAACATCTAACAACAAATCAGAATAATCTAATATCAATATCACGTTTATTAAAAAGTGCTAATACTTTAGAATTATTTGTTTTTTTTTTGATAAATTACATAAATGGGAAGATATGGCCAATTTACCTGATTCAATTCGATCAGAAATCGATCAAGTGTTGAACATGTTTTTAATATATCATCAATTATATTTGAAAAATATAGAAAAATATTTATTGAAATATTTGGTGGAAATCAATATAAATTAATTTATCCATCAACTATCAATGATCTGATTGCTTCATTTCATTTACTTATTTCTAGTTTTTTCTTTTATTTATGATTATATCAAATTAGCCAAATTAGATTATATACTTAAAGGTAACATTCTATTAGAAGATTTTATTTATATATGTTACGGTCAAAATTGGAATCTGGTCAAATTTAGAATTTGACCAGACGAAATTGGAATTCTAATTTTGACTGGGCAAAACTAGAATATTTTTTTATGATACATATAAATCAAAGAAACTGAAATGAATGGAGGAACATATTGGCACAAAGGATAGCGAAGGTGTGAGTGAGACTCAGAAGAAGACTCAGATACCAATGGGGGCATTTCTGAATAAACTCGATCATGAAGATGCTAGTAAAATTGCAGTTGTTCAAGGTTTCCTATTTTCCAGCCATCCTCACTCACAGCTACCACAAAAAATAGCTGGATAGCCTTCGAACTCTCATCCATACTCTCTGGATCATCTGTGCCGATATATTCTTCGATTCACTCTGGTTACTTTGATTTATATGCATCATAAAAAAATATTCTAATTTTGCCCAGTCAAAATTAGAATTCCAATTTCGTCTGGTCAAATTTAGAATTTGACCAGATTCCAATTTTGACCGTAACATATATATATCATTTTAATCGACTTTATTATTAACATATCATTTTTTATTTTAGTTTTTTTCAATTAAAAATTTTCTTTTTCACTTCTTATCAAATGAAGATTTCTTAAGAGATTTTTTTTGTTTATTTTATTTAAAAGTCTTTGAAATAAGATCTGAAACAAATTCAATTTTCGATTGTTCGATATAGAATTAAATTTAATTAAATATTTTATTTCGAGATATATCAATATATATTATTAAATAAAAATCATTTGAAATATTTTTTTATCGAATATATATATATATATCGATAACTTAGAAAAAAAAAACCTATTTTCTTGTCAATATGATTATTAATCGATGAAAACGTAAATAATCGAATATGATTAACGATTATTTCAAATCATGTTTAAAAATTTAATCGTTTAAACGATATTATAGTTATAACTATGAACAATCGATTAATAATCATTTATAAATAATATAATTATAACCAAGATTTACAAATAATGATTGTATTCATATTAGAAATTATATTTCATCATATTAAACGAGTTATTCAATCTATTCTACTTGTTTTTTCTTAATTAAACTATGGAAAATGTTTCGTTGAAACGATGATAGATTAACTGTACAGTTTCATAAATCGAATATCTATTGTTCGAGTTGTTTATTATATTAGAAATCGATATTTGTTGTCAACAAAATCAAACTAATTTGAATTATTTAGTCAAAACAAATAAAGATATAATAATCGAAATAATTTAATTAAACTAAATCTAATAAATTGAATAAAAAGATATAAAAAAAAAGAAGAAAAGTGTTGTTTTTTTTGTTAAAGTTGTTGTTTAAATGATTTATGTTCAAATGATGGAAGTATAATCGATAAATTATGTATGATGTATTGTTGTTCATCGAATATGTGTTGATCAATAATCGAACAACAATTAAAAAATGATTTATTTAAACGTCTTGATAAAAAAAAGAAAATTTTTTAAATGAATTTAATTATTTGGAAACAATTCGTGATATAAATCGTCAATATGATGAAATTGTTTTAACAAATTGTATAATTGATGAAAGAATTTTTTTAGAAAATAAATTTCAATTAAATGATTTATGTAATTCATTAAATGAATATCGATATTCAAAATCTTCTCAAAATCTAACATCATTAACAGCAAATCAACATATTACATCGAATGATTATCAAATAATTTCTTTTAATCAATATTTAACATTCATATCTCAAGCTAATCAATTAATTAAATTATTATATTCAATTGTTCAACAACAACAAACTTTTTTTATCAAATCGAACATAAAATAAATTTGTTTTTCTTTCTCAAACCTTCATCATGTTTTTTCATCATAAGATTTTTTTTAATCGAACTTTTAACATTATCCTTTGCGTTTTTTCCCGTTCATATATTGAACAAGTAACGTTCATCGTCAAGCGATTCACTTAGCCCTAGACTGATAGAATACATGTACGGATGTACTAGCATAAAAAGCTACATTAAAAAAGTAATACGCAAAATCGATAATATAACCAGTATATCTTAGGCGAGCAGAAAACTTAATTCGGAGAATTCTCACTCTAAGTGAAGATAATGCATTTTACAAATTTAATTTTTTTTGTCGTTTTTGTTTTATTTTTTTTTGCTTTTATAAATATAAATAGCGCTCAATAAGATTAGACAAGAATACGATTTTTTTTGTAATTATATTGGCGCTATTTGTACGTACAAAAATATGAATTATATTATTCATAAAATTTGAGTTTTATTAATCAATATTTTATGCTTCAATTCGTGCATTAATTCTAAACTATTAATAAATTAGATATTCATTGATACAACATTGCACAATCAATCCTACAATAATGAATAATTTAAACGATTTCTTTAAATCCATACTGCTCATTTGGTCTGACTCTCACTAATTAAATGCTTTTGTAAGCCGTTTTACACCACTACCCGAATTATAGTTATTTCATTGACATTTTACCGATGATTATTATGGGTTCATTTACATCAGTCTTTAGATGGTCATTTGTGCCATAGTTACCGGAATAGTTGTTTGTGCCATGGTTGCTATATGGTCACCTGTGCCATAGTTACCGGAATAGTTGTTTGTGCCATGGTTGCTATATGGTCACCTGTGCCATAGTTACTGGAATAGTTGTTTGTACCATGGTTGCTATATGGTCACCTGTGCCATAGTTACCGGAATAGTTGTTTGTGCCATGGTTGCTATATGGTCATCTGTGTCATAGTTACCGGAATAGTTGTTTGTACCATGGTTGCTATATGGTCACCTGTGCCATAGTTACCGGAATAGTTGTTTGTACCATGGTTGCTATATGGTCACCTGTGCCATAGTTACGTGGTCGTTTGTACCAAAAAAATGACCGTTTGTGCCATAGTTACATGCTCATTTGTACCATAGTTACCTAGTTAATTTTAGTAAAAAAATGGCCGTTTGTGCCAAAAAATGGTCACTTGTGCCAAGAAAATGGTCGTTTGTGCCAAAAAAATGGCCATTTTGACCGCGTTACCGACAGAAAGACAGACAGACAGACAGACAGACAGACAGACGGACAGACAGACAGACACAGGTGAATTTCGGTTTCTAGACCCTAGCCTTTCAGTCTAGGGAAAATAAACAGCCTTTCGACAATTGAAACTAATTCGAAACCTATTTCAATTTGTCAATGTCACCTTTTTGATCAGTGTAGCAGCGACTAGCTCTAGAAGTCAACTATGATTAGTTTACTTTCGGTAATAGGCAGAGAACAGTACTTAGCTAAATGTTACATTAGAATCTATGATAAGAGAACCGTCAGATTTGTTTTACTCATATTGATTTGTATAGGAAAGAGACAATCAATCTGATTAACAATCAGATTTGAACTACATTTTAATAATAATTATGTGTTGAGAGTTGATCGATATAGAATTGATATTATAGACAAGAAACTTACAAGACAAAAAAATTCTATTAGAAATCGAGAGATAAATCCGATAGATGATTTTCGTGACGATCGATAATCAAAGATAAATAAATGAACTCGTTAAAAGATTTTTCAATTAATCGATTTTAGATTTTTATTATTTCGATTAATAAAAAATATTCTCAAATT